GGACTGAAGCCTTTGCTTCCTTTTCCACCCAATCAGCAGCCAGAAGTAAGGAAAGCCTCTCCGAGGGGTGTTCCACTTCGGGAAAACAACACTGTTCAGAGCAGGCCTGACGCTAAGCAAACAGAATGGCACTGGTTGGGGGGGCAGGCATCTGCCTTTGGGCCACCTGATCCCCAGCAAGGGCCACAGCTGCGATTCCAGGTTGCAGGCCATGCTGCGCTTCTTCATGTAAATGAGGGGAGTTGGCAAGAAGGTGCCAGGTGTGCCTCAATGCATCACATGACGTGTCTGGAAGAAGGTGTCTAGAAGCAGGGGATGCCCCTGCCCTTGGTGGGCAGGCCTCTTCTCTGCCGGGCACATGCTCTGCTCTCGCGAGGGTGCATGACACCTGATGGTGACTTCAAGTCTCAAGAACATGGCTTACAACAGGGAGCTCTAGGAACGCTTTTCTCGAAAAGCCTTGCGTTCAGGAGTTTCCGACTTCCAGACGGCAGTGGGACCTCGGGAGCTAAGAGCCAAGGGAGGAAGCGAGGCTGCTCACGACCCTGCCACGAGACGCCTTCCCTGCAGCCTCCCTCCAGCGCCCAGTTCGTGGCAGCTCCAGGCAGGAGCCCGGATGTTCACCGGATGGCAGTGGAACTTGCCAGACCAGCTGCGGAGCAGAGCAAGGCAAGCCTGCGCCCGGATCCACAGGCCCAAGAATCCACGGCCCGGATAAGCCGCTGCCATACGCCCTTGTGGGAGCAGGGGCCGTGCCCGGCGGAGAAGAGGCTTGCCCCCCAAGAAGGGCAAGGGTTCCCCTTCTTCCAGGCACGTCACGTGACGAAGGGGGTTGCGCCACACCTGGCACCTTCTCGCCGACACCCCTCGCTTACACGAACAAGTATGGCGTGGCCTGCAACCCGGAATCGCAGCCGTAGACCTTGCTGGGGATCCAGTGGCCCAAAGGAAGCAGCCTGCCCCACCCCCGACAAGGGCCGCTCTGTTTGCTCAGAATCAGGCCTGCCCTGCAGTCCCCAACGGTCACTCAGGGAAACAAACGGCGCCAATCCCAGTCCTGGGAGACCCTGACTAACGACCCAGCCCGGCCCTTGTTCTGGTGGGGAGAGGGAGTAGTGAAATCGCAAGGGGGCCAAACGGTTGTTGTTTTTTTGACCTCACCTGGACATGAGTATGAACTGGCAGGACCAAAAGCAGCCCGCAAGGCACGTTATGCAGCCCCCCGACGTCCACATCCTCGCACACGCGCACTGTGGTCTGCGTCCACCCCTCGGCAGGTTGTCCCTACGTTCAGTGTCTCCCACCACAAAGACGTTCCTTATCCACCAGGTCTTGTAGCTCTCTCAGGGTAAAATGCAAAACGCTTTTTTTTTTTTTTTTGAGCCAGTCTCCCCAGCAGGGTTCATGTGTTTGCTGCCTGGGCTCTCTGTTCCCAGGACTTGGCTTGAGTGACATTTACCACACATTCTTCAAAAACATGACATCTACACAAGGCAGCCCATTGTGCAGAGGCAGACACGCAGAAGTCTGTTCTGGACAAGACTGAAGTTTCACCAGTAGCTTTTCTTTTTCTTAAACAGGAATTTAAAAGATATAAATGAGGCCAGGCGCGGGAGCTCGCACCTGTCATCCCAGCACTCTGGGAGGCCGAGGCAAGAGGACGGCCTGAGCCCAGGAGTTCAAGACCAGACTGGGCAACTTGGCGAGACCTCGTCTCTACAAAAAAGTTTTAAAAATTAGTCAGGCATGGTGGTGCACGCCTGTAGTTCCAGCTTCTTGGAAGGCTGAGGCGGAAGGATCGCTGGAACCCAGCAGGTTGAGGCTGCAGTGGCTATGAGCATGCCACTGCACTCCAGCCTGGGTGACAGAGTGAGACACCAACTCAAAAAGAAAAAGAAAGAAAGAAAAAAGAAATACATGCGATAATTTGGTACCTTTGGAAATATGACATTTATAATCTTCTGACAAGAAAACACTTCCCATTCAAAGTCATCACAAGTTGTCTACCTGTGGTATGTGTGTGCATGTGTGGTATCTGTGTGACTGTGTATCTGTGGTGGTGTGGTAGGTGCATTACTTGTATGTAGCATGTGTAGTGTACATGTGTGTGTATTTGTGTGTGTGTGTGTGTGTGTGTGTGTGTGTGTGTGTGATGGCATGGTGTCTGTGGTTGTATGGTGTGTAGTGTGTAGGTGAATGTGTGGTGTGTATGTGTATATGTGGGGTGTGTGTGTATGAGGTGTGTGTGCTCTTAACACATCTGTGCTGTGTCACATAAAAGTGGATAACACACTGTCCAGATCAAATTAATAACTTTTATCTATTAATGTCAAAACAATTTATCAAACCATTTGAATCATATTTACATGCAAGCCATTTATATTATGAAATTTTTTAAATGATTTTAAGAAAAAAAATCAACTTTTAAAGTTGAACCCCACATCAAGAAACAATTTTTCAATCTACAACTGAAACAAAATTCAATCAATTCCACTACCATAAAATATCATGGATATTCTTAGAATAACTTTTATGTGATCTTTGCTCACCAAAAGAATACAGCGCCAAGAAAAAGTGTAAGCTATTTTCACACACTTAGTCAAGTAAAAACAGAATTAAGAACAAATTTTGGAGTGAGCACAATTCATAAAGATCACCTATAAAGGGCAATATTTATAAATAAAGCAAAAGACCTATGCTACCCCAAACACACCAGACTCACAAATGGGAGAAATGAAATGATTTTGAAGAGTTCTTACAAAAACAAGGCTTCATTCCAGAAGGGAAACAGTTCGGCATCCCAGGAAATGATTCAGTGCTTTTCTGGCTACCCAGATCGCCTACACTGTCACTGTCAGGGAGGTGTGACTGCACACATGAGCTTGAGAGCCTTGGTGAGTAAACAGATGACATCAAGCGGACACCTGACCAAGAGGGACCTCAGCCCACTGCTTTCAAACTGAGCCTCTGATGCACCCTTGGCACTGGAGGCAGTCCAGAACATGGTCGCTTATTGTCCTTTTAAGTCTGTGACGTGCCCCATGGAAGAGCCCTTCTTTGGGGCCAGAGGCAAACTCGGCGCAAACACCCAGCATTGCCTCCCCGCCAGTCTCAGCCCAGCAGGCAGGTGCAGAGCTGAACCCAAGGCTGTGCTTGTCTGCTGGCTGTTCTTTAAGACCTGAGCTCCGCTCCTGTCCCCTGAATTGTCCGTGCCTGTCCTTCCTCCCTAAAGCCTCCCCCGAGGAGGGAGAAGACGGGACGCCCACACACAGCCTCTCCAACCTGCCGAAGTCCACAGGCTCCATGAGTGGCCAGGTCCTAGCCAGCTCTGACTCAGGAAGAGAAATTAAAGGCGGACACCATCAGATTCAACTTTCTATCAGACTGGTAGGTCCAAATATAAAATAGCTTCATTTATTTTATTTTTTTTGATTCAGGGTCTCAATCTGTTGCCCAGGCTGAAGTACAGTGGCACAATCGCAGCTCACAGCAGCCTTGGCCTCCTGAGCTCAGGCAATCCTCTCACCTCAGCCTCTGGAATAGCTGGGACTACAGGCAAGCACCACCACGCCTGGTTTTTTAAATTCTTTACAGAGGTGAGGTCTCAGTATGTTGCCTAGGCTGGTCTCAAACTCCTGGGCTCAAGCAATCCTCCTGCCTCGGCCTCCCAAAGCGTTTGGATTATAGGCGTGAGTCATCATGCCCAGCCTATACCATGCCCAGCCCAAATACAAAACAGTTTTTAAAATGAAAATATGGGTCTTTGCGGCTGGATTTTTCTTTCCTCGTTCTTTCTTTTCCACATCACCAAAAGCAGAAAAGGAAGTGTCAGGCAAACTCAGGGGGCAAGAAGGTATTGCCAAGAGGGACCCTTGACACGGGCACATGTCTCCTCATGTGTGCGTCCTCGTGCTGCCGTCCGACAGTAAACTCAGTGAAGGACCAATGAAACACGCCGCGAGCTTTGAATCCTACTGTTGCCCCGCTCTTTCTAGATTTTAGGCTCTTCGTTAGTTAATGTTACAAGCGGCTGCTCAGACAGCTTCCTGTTTCCTAGATGACGAAAACCCACCAGACAGAAGTCTGGCGTTTTGCAGTCCCTGCTCTCAGGTTAAAGAGAAATGCTTCTGAATTAAAATTCTTATGTGAAGTATCTTGATATCACTTGCAAGCAGGTATTTCTATGAGAGGGGGAAAAGTCTAACCATACACTGTATAAGTTTTCCAGGAAACTGGGAAACATTTGGGGGCTTTTTTAACTGAGAAAGAAATTCCATCCAAGAGAATAATAAGTTCCTTCCCGAACCCGAGGTCTTGATACTCTATGATTGGTGTCCAGTCATAGTCTAAAGATGGCCCATTTCTACCTGCCAGAAATCCTTTCAAGTACGTATGCCAATAGAACTACTCACGCATCAGCAAATAACACCAAATTAAGACTTTTTTCCAGGTTCATTCTTTTTCAATAAGCCCAGCACGGGTTTGCAGGGATTTGCACTTGTGGGCCGGCAGAGGGCCACGTGGCCATCTGAATCAAGCATGCACACAAGACGCTATCCTTTCAGGTCGGGTTTGCTTTCTGCGTGGTTTCAAACTTCTCCAGGAAAGCAGAGGACGATGCCTGGGTTGACGTTCACAGGACACCCCCGTCCCCAGCTGCTGACGGCGGGGTTTGGGGGAGCCAACCACCCGTGGTGCACAGCACTCATCAGTCACCCATGCACCCCGCCACCGCAGCCCTGGACCCCGAGCACCCCAAAGTGACCTCAAGATACAGAGACTCTGTGCAGACCCAGCGCTCTGACGCTGCACACTGCCCCTGGGGCTGAGTCACAAGCCTTCCAGCAAGGGACTGCCTAGGCAGAGCCACTTATTCCAGTGCGTTCATCATGCGTTTGCAACATTGGACCTTTCGAACCGGACACTGCCTTCAGCCTTCAAAGAGCACAGCACAGCTGTGTGCCAGCAAAGGGATTTCAGACAAAAAACGAAAGCCATACCTTTGGGACTTCTCCCTCCATTTGAAAAGTGCCTTCTATGTTCACCGTGGCAGGTACCAAAAGCTTTGCCAAGGCTTCCTTGTCTAGCTTAAAGGTAGACTTTTTTCCCCCTAGCAATGGTACTAACACTCCAGCGGCAACGAACGTACTCCAGTGTCACAACCTCACTATCGTCAGGGTTTGGGGGTTTGGTTTGGTTGTGGGCCTCTGGTTACATAATTTAAATAAGCAATACGAGAAAAATATTCCGTTTCTCTTAAAAGAAACTCAACCAAGTATGCATATTTATGCCGATCTACATTCCTCTCCGTAAAATATGAGAATCCACATTCAGAAGCTAAGATGAAGGTGAAATGAGCAGGTGGGCTGAAGAGGTGGAGAGGCCCTCCTCTTAACAAAGCTCACTTTCCTCCAGGAGCACCGTTCACGCGGTGGAAGGTACCCCGGAAAGTCGAGCGCTCTTCGAATATGTGGGTTCCCACATGACCCAGATTCTGCACGCTACCCTGGGAGGTGCTGGCCTTTAACTGCGTCCGCGGCCAGCGCATCCACAGGGCCGGCATCCTGCGAGCCTCTCCCTGTTCCTAACAGCACCATGAGCCCAGAGCTGTGTCTCATTTCTTTGTCAATACAGTCATTTCCCGGGCGGCAGGACAGAAACAGCCCGCAGAGTCCTTCTCCCCGCCCCCGCCTCCGTCAGGGCGTCGCCCGCGGGAGCGGCCCGGGCGGGGCAGGGGTCGGGTCGGCGGAGGAAGCGGCGCGCGGCAGAGCAGCTCGCCCGGGCTGGGTGTCTGCTCCTGGCGCGTCGCCCCAGGCCCGCGCACGGGAGGACTCGCCCGCTGGCCTCTGACCGTCCGGCCGTGTGTCGGAGGAAGACCTCCCCTCCAGCCTGTGGCTCCGGGCAGCGCCCCCGGCCCGTTTCAGCTCGTGTAAATGGAGCCCGGTCACCCAGCCCAGACCCACATTCCGTGCCGCAGCTCGGGCCAAGCCCTCGGGCACGGAGCGACGAGCACAGGCAGCAAAGCCAGCCCCACCCGGGTGAGAAGGTCGGGCCGG